TTGCACTAATAAAAAGAACTTTATCAAATTGTTTTCATGCATCAAGTTAACTCCTTTAAGAATTCCAGTGTTTATAGATTTGTGCTCAAAAACACGCGTAATTTAGAGTAGAGCTTAGCAAAAGTGTGCACCAGAAATAGGTTTTTTTTCTTCCTTTTTTGAGGACATTTCTCAAGTTTTTGCCATTCTCTGAAGTCCACTGTGACTATTAATAACCAAAATAACAAAATCTGTTGTCAAAAAGTGATTTTTGTAAAATTTAAAAAAATGAAATCTTTTAAAAATGAATGTTGTTTTGTTGTCAATGTTATTAAATTTCTTAGGACATTTTTGTATTTTTAAACATTAATGAATAGTAAGGTGAATAATATTATTAGTGTAATGCATGGTTTTATTTTTTATAAATATTGAGTTTTTGTAACAGGCTCAGTTTCGTTTATTTAAAATATTTTAAAAGGCTCATAGTAATACTTAAGCTTACAAAACCGCGTATAAAACACACAAATAAAGGAAAAAAGAGGAAGACATGCACTAATAGTAGAAAGCTACTGTTTCCTGTAAAGCATTCTATCAACCAGCTGTGATAAGCAGCTGATTGATATAATATTTTAACCAGCTTCTCGGCATCGGAAAACCTCAGATATACAATTTTATAAATTAGTACTGATGACTATTTTAAAATTCTTTTCGATTTAAGTCTGTTCTCAAAGGTTTCCTAGCAAATATCTTACCTGCCAAAATGTATAATAAAAAATATCTGTAACCTTTCTCTTTGTTCTATATGGCTCTTCTTAATCTCTAGACTGCACTTTTATTGATGTTATTTCTGGTAAAATTGACCAAGCTTTTTCTCTTTATCCTTCAGCCAATATTGTTGTTGTTGGTGACTTCAATGTTCATCATACTGAATGGCTTGGCTCTAGTGTCAGTGACTCTGTGGGCATTAATGCCCACAACTTATGCTTTTTCAATTTCAATCACAAATAGCCAACTTTCTAACTTCTTTTCCAGAAAATTTTAATCATTTACCTTCTTTACTGAACTTATGTCTTGTTTCTGATCTTAGTCAGTGCTCAGTTTCACCACATTCACCCTTAGATGCTTCTGATCACAGTTTAATCTCTCTAAAACTATTATCTCACTCTTCTTCCTCATAAGAATCCCTCTATCATCATACCTCTTACAACTATCATAAATCTGACTGGGACTCTTTCCATAATTTTCTTCATGATGGCCCTATGGATAGAAATCTTTTGTTTTCCTGCTGACAAATGTACTGAGTAGTTGACAAAGCTAAATTGTTTGCTAAAAACTTTTCAACAATATCATCTCTTGATTCCACTAATCTCATTCCACTAATCTCATCCTACCTGATAAAGCGGAAAAGCAGGTAGATTTACTGCTTGACATTTGTATCACTCCAGACTCTATACCTAAAGTGATTTCCTGCTTAGGCTCTTCTTCAGCTTGTTGTCTGGACAACATACCTGTTATAGTCTTGCAGAAGTGTTCTCCGGATCTGTCATCTATGCTTTCAAAACTATTTAACAAGTGCTTATCAGAGTCTTGTTTTCCAACCTGCTGGAAAGTGTCATCTGTTATCCCTATTTTATAAAGTTCTGGAGTGCGATCTGACTCATCTAGCTACCATCCTATTAGTCTTAATATCATAAGCAAGGTTTTTAAGTCTTTGATTAACAAGTACTTAATTTCTCATCTTAAATTTAATATCTTACTTTCTGATCATCAGTATGGATTTCAAATCTTCTTCTACCGCTGATTCAGAATGGTAATAACCTATAGATTTTATTGTGCATTAGATAGATGTAGAGAGGTTAAGGTTATCGCTTTCGATATTTCTAAAGCCTTTGATAAAGTTTGGCATGCTTATCTTCTCCATCAGCTTTCTTCTTACAGTGCATCAGGTAAAATCTTTAAGATTATTGAATCCTTTCTTACCAATTGTAGTATAAAAGATATCCTATAAAAGACGAGCAGCACTCTTCTTCATATCCTGTAACTTCAGGGGTTTCTTAAGGTTTTATCCATGGCCCTATACTTTTTTAAATTTACATTAACAATCTCCCAGATATTCTCAGATCTAAGGTGGCATTGTTCACTGATGATACTACCATTTATTCTTGTCTTGATAAGAAGCCAACACTCTATGATTGCTGAGAGGAGGCATCTGAGCTTAAAAAGGATCTCACTTCTACCACAGCAGAAGTGCTCTCAGTGGCTGGTGAACTTTACCTCAGATAAACCCAATTTTTTCAGGTAATTGTTATCGCAATAATCTAGATCTTCCCATATTTATGAACGATAATGTACTCAATGAGTCATCTACTCTTCATCTTCTAAGATTAACTCTTGATCTTTTTTGGAAACCATATCTCAAATCCATTGCAAAATTAGCATCTGCTAAGGTTGCGTCTCTTTATCATGCTCGCCACTTTCTTACTTTGGATTCTATTCTTTATCTCTATATACCTCAAATCCTTCCTTGTATGGAATACTGTTACCAAATATGGAGTGGATCTACCAATGATGCCTTTTCTCTTTTAGGCAAAGTGCAAAAATGCAAACATAGTTGGACCTAGACTTGCAGCCAACCTTCAACCACTGTCACATCATTGTAATGTTGCTTTTTGTTCTCTTTTCTATAAATACTATAATGCGCGCTACTCTAAAGAGCTAGCGTCTCTTATACCATCTACTAAAATTCATTCTCGTGTTGCTCTTTATTTAAATAAGTCTCATCATGTTACTGTGACTGTTCCTAAATGTTTAAAAAATTCTCTTTTGCCTCCTTCATCATGTTTTCCTGGTTCATATAGTTTGCATTTTTTTTAGTCTCCTGCTAATCTTTATCTTGCTTTATTAACTTCGTCTTTTCTCGTCCAGTAACTTCCAACTCTAATAGTTGTTGCTTGCAGCCTTGTTGGAAGTGAAAATGTTCCATTTAAGTACATTAATGAAGAATTCCTTTTCCAATAACACATTTAATCAAGCTTTTTTGTTATTTATACGTGTAAATGTAGCCTTAAAACAAACTGTGCATATTTTGTAATTTCTTGAGCTTTCACAAACAGACAGATTATTAGCAAGTTTTAACTATATTTGATATATCTTTTCTATCTTTCAAAAACACATACATACAGTCAGTGCTTAAAGTGGGGAAAAAAATGTAGCAGGATGTTAATCAATTTACCATCCTTCCTATTTTAACAATTTATTTTTATATAGTACAGGTTTTGTTCAAAATTTAATGTGTTATAAACAACAACAATAACTATGAGTTAGTTATATACTTAAGTGATTGTCATCATAAAGTAATGAATCAAATTACAGTTTAAGAGCCATTAAACAGTTAAAAAATAGTTGTAAATATGTTGAAACATTCAATGTGAAGTATCCCTTTATGTAAATTTTATTTATGTGTACTAATTTCATAAGTTGAACAAAATGTTTTTGTCAAAATGTCTACCAAAATATTTCTCATTGATGGACTTTAATGCACAAGCCAAGGCCGGATTAAGAGTCTTAGGGGCTGGGTGCAAAAGTTATTTTGGGGCCCCATTCCTAAAAATATATATTTAAAAATGAATGCAACAAAACATGAAATTACTTTTTTTATTCATAATTTTTTTCTTCTTGCTTTCACATTGGCAAAGTCATCTTCAAAATTTATATTTTGTAAGAGTTCTTTTAATTGTCATTAAACAAAGAGAATTTAAATGACCATTTAACTTAGGGTTAGAAAAATTAGATATGTAATGTCAACATTTGGAAAAACCTATTTTTAACTTATTCCTATATATTTTTCTCATTTGCCATGAACTTGGAAAACTGGACAATTTCATCGTGGTAACTGTGGAATTGTGTATTTAAGTATGAAGGATAAATAGTACTCAAGGATTTGGCAGCAGCAGCAATGACAGGAACATACATTTTTACAAAATTATACATTCGACAAAAAACAAATTGGAAGTCATAAAGACAACTACAAAAACAGATTACATACACAATCTGTTACACCTGCCATCATCAAGCATAAAGCCAATTTGTTTTTAAAATATTTAACATGCAAATCTTTTTTATCTTGCTCAGTCATATTATTCTTTGTTTTAAGAAGCTGGACATTTTATACATTTTTAAGCTGTTACAGTAGTGTTGTAGAGGCCCTAACACACCCACAACTGCAGTTGCATATCTTTAAAAAACTGGGGGCCTCTACTGGGCCCCTGGTTTCAGGGAGGGCACCTGTGTGCCCAGGGTAATTTGGCATTGGTAGAAGCTTCTTAATTTTTCAAATTAGCATTATGTTTTATTCCAAACCACTAGATTACATAATCCTTTTGACCAAATTTATTAATCAGTGGACATTCTAATGAATAAACATTAAACTTGACATTTTTATTATTAAAGAGTTTTGCAAGGAAGACAATATTATATTCATAGTAGAATATGAACAAATGCGTTCTGCTGTTGAAACAATTAAGGTATTTATAACTTTGTGGTTGATTAAAAAATTTGTGAATATTTTATAACAAATTATCATTAAAATTTTTTTCTGGATTGTTTACTTTATCTTGTAACGGTTTGTATGCAGTTCTAGTTGTAAACATTTTAAGATTTTTACTTAGTTTACTAAAACATTGTTTTGATTATTTTTGGAAACTTTACTTATCTGCAATTTGATGCCGTTAAACTCAAATTTTTAAAAATATAAATGTACTTAGTTGCACATGATTGATGACATTATTCAGAAATAGGCAGATATCTATATATAAAAGTAATCTATTAAAAGGTCTAGATTTTTTTATAATGCTTTTATTTTTTTATTTGTAAAAAATATTTTATTTATTTGTAAAAAATGGAGATTAATGTATAAATGAAATGTAAATTACATTATTTGTGAATTTAGTAAAACCATTCACACTATAATATCACAAACTATGATATTAATCATTCAATTAGTATGCATTTTTTCTATCTAGGTAAAAGTTTTAAAATCCATCAAACCTCTTTCTCTTAATGACATTGTATTTGGTCAATATATTGGTAACCCTGATTGCTCTTTAGCGGATTCAAAGTTTGGTTATCTTGATGATGCAACTGTTCCCAGTGAATCTAGGACACCTACATTTGCATGTGCAGTTTTGTATATTTGTAATGAAAGATGGGATGGTATATTTTTACTTTTTTTTATACTTTGCAAGTTGTTTTTATTTTTTATTTTCATACTTAGTGTGTATATATATATATATATATATATATATATATATATATATATATATATATATATATATATATATATATATATATATATATATATATATATATATATACATATATATATATATATATATATATATATATATATATATATATATATATATATATATATATATATATATATATATATATACTTTTTCATGTAAAAAGTATATATATAAAGCCCTTGAATTAGGAATTAAGGTTGGCAAAAATCTAATTCACCAATGCCAATCTAATTGCCACCCTGTCAGTGTCTGAGGTTGGCAATTTTTTGCCAACCTCAGAATTTAAAACATAATTTTATTTACTATTTTAAATAAATTAAAAATGGCATAATGAACCCTTTATTTAAATTCTAAATAAAATAATTAAAATAAAGATAGCAAAAAAAAACCTTTTTTAAAAATTCTAAATAGTTAAAATAAAAAATAAAATATTCTAAATAGAATAATTAAAATAAAAAGGAAAAAAAGCTAGCATTTTATTTAATTTCTGAATAAAATTATTAAAATGAAAACAGCAAAACAAACGTTTAATATAAATTCTGAACAAATTAGTTTAAACACAACAACAAAATAAATCTTTTATTTAAATTCTAAATTACAATAAAAAAATAATAATAATTTCAATTAAACTCTAAATTAAGGAGAAAAAAAAAAAAATAAGGAAAAACAATTTTTTTTTTAATTCATAATAAACAACTAAAATAAAACTGCAAAACAAACTTTCTATTTAAATTTCAAATATGAATTTATATAATACGAACCTCTTATTTAAATTACAAACAAAATAATTAATTTAAAAACGGAAAAATAAACATATTAATTCTAAATAAAAATGTTTTAGTTTCTAAATTTTTAGGCAAATGTTGAGTTTAAAAAAAAAGGTTTGAAAAAAAAGTCAGCAAACTCTGCGTTTGTTTTTCTGTCAATTTTATGCTAATTATTTGCACATTTGTTGATTTGTAAAACCATGTTTCAAAATTATATGCCAACCTTATGCCAATTTATTTTTTCTAAATAATAAGTTCTATATATATATATATATATATATATATATATATATATATATATATATATATATATATATATATATATATATATACATATACATACATATATATATATACATATATATACACATATATATACATATATATACAGCGGTGGCCAAAAATTAAAGACCACTTATTTTTAGTTGGTTTCTTAATCTTTAAATCAAAATTAAGAAGATTCTATTTGACATATTAATTTTTTTTTTTTTTTTAATATCTTGTTAATTAAAACATACGGATTAAAATGGTATAATTTTTTTAATCTTATTCTAATTAAATAGCGTTTAACTTATTAAAAAACTGATGAGTACTTATAAATCTTCTTTAAATAAATTGGACAAAATTTAACGACCACTTTCAAATCTTTAATTTGCACTTATTAAAAATAATAATCAATTATTTTTTTTAACTGTCTTAATTGCTTATTATGTTGGCTATAAAATAAAATGTCGAAACCTGAGTTTCGATATCAAATAAACATTTATTTTTTGAATTGCAATAAGGATATAAAAATATTGCAAAAATGCATGCAAAGATCAAAGAAAACGACAGATATGCGGCTCTTGTATTAAAAGAAGAAGGCTATAGCATCAGACAAATAGCAGAAAAGCTTGGAAGGTCTCACTCTTGCATTATTAACATAATTCAACGATACAAAGAGACCGGGTCAATTAATGATCGTTATAGGAGTGGACGCAATAAAATTTCAAATGACCGTGATATTCGCTCGTTAGTGAGATTAATGAAAGAAAACAGACAAGCATCATCTACAGACTTGTCTATGAAATGGACACTGTTAAATGGTCTGAAAGCAAGCCCTAGAACTGTGCGAAGGGTTCTCCACAATTTAAATTATTTATGGCATGCTGCTGCAAAAAAACTACGTTTAAATAAAAAAAAAAATTTGCCAGGAAAGAGTGGTGCAAACTACATAAAAATTGGTCAACAGATCAGTGGAGCCGTTTGGTCTTTAGTGACGAAATGAACCTTGAGTTAGACAACAGAAAAGGTCGCGTAATGTTGTGTAGACTTCCAAGCGAGCAGTTCGATGAATCATACATTTTAAAACGAACAAAACAAGGCAGTGGTTCAATAGGCATTTGGGCCTGTATGAGTGCCTGTGGAGTTGGTGTTTTTCATTTATTCGATGGTAGACTTAACAAAGAAAGGTACATCGAAATTTTGGAAAACTCGCTTATTCCTAGCATTGATTTATGGCAGTTGCAAGATGGGTTTATTTTCCAGCAAGATAAAGCGCTGTGTCATAAAGCGCATGTTGTTAGCAATTGGTTTAATTCTAATAAAATTCAAGTGCTTCCATGGCCTGCCAATAGTCCAGACTTAAATCCAAAAGAGAATTTATGGTCGTGGCTTGATCACAAGCTTGGTAAAGAACAACTTTACAATTTGGAAGATTTGAAATCTTCTATCTCTCATCATTTGAATAATGTGCCAGATGAAGTAATCAAAACTTTAATGAATTCAATGCCAGAACGAGTACAAGAGTGCTAGAAAACAAATGGAGGAACAACACGTTTCTAAATTATTTTTTTATTGCTTTTTGAAATATTTTTGAAACTGTTCTTTAAATTTTCACCAATTTTTTTTTCCATTTATATTTTTTACTAGTCAGTTTTTTAATATTTTAACATTTTGTAAAAAAATTATAAATTCTTTTATAATAAATATAAAATACAATAAAAATTCTTTCTAAAAATGTTTTTCTTTTTTGATATCTTTTTCCAAAATAAAATTGTACTAGGTTAAAAATAAATTTTGAAAAAAAAAAGAGTGGCCACCGCTGTATGTATATATATATATATATATATATATATATATATATATATATATATATATATATATATATATATATATATATATATATATATATATATATATATATATATATATATATATATATATATATATATCTTTATAGTGTAGTCGAAAAAGACTTTTATGGTAAAAAAAGTCTCTTTCGACTACAATTTTAATTACCTCGGCTCTTAAGCTGTATTTGATTGTCATCGAAATGTCAAAGCAATTAAATTAATGGGGAAGTACATTAAATTTTATTGTTTTTTAAAAAAACCGCAATAATAATGACTAGAAAGTTTTTTTTAATTAATAGTGTTTTTGTTTTTGTTTTATTAAAAAAACATTTTTAAAACATGCGTAAGTGTTGCTACATCAACTATTTTATAGCCTGACTCGCAAGGGAGTGCTGCTACATCGACTGACAAATAGCCTGACTCGCAATGGAGTGCTGCTACATCGACTGACAAATAGCCTGACTTGCAAGGGAGTGCTGCTGCATCGACTGAGGGTTTGGTTTGGGCAGGCAGTCTATCACTTAAAAAAAAAAAAAAATATTTTCAAAGTTTTTTAACATTTTCTGGTCAGGTTTATTTACGCGCTCTTTAAAACTACAGTTTATCGGAAAAACTTTGTGACTACCATGCAAGAGTATATATATATATATATATATATATATATATATATATATATATATACATATATATATATATATATATATATATATATATATATATATATATATATATATATATATATATATATATATATATATATATATATATATATATATATATATATATATATATATATATATATATATATATATATATGTATATATATATATATATATATATATATATATATATATATATATATATATATATATATATATATATATATATATACTCTTGCTATATATATATTGCTCTACAATCTTTTTCTTTTCTCTTCCAGTAACTTCTAACTCTAATTAGTGGTTGCTCGCAACCTTGTTGGAAGCAAAGATGTTTGAAAAATATATATACACACACACTATGCTCATGTTAGGTCGAAATTTCCTAATATCATTTTTGTGCTCTTTACCTTAAATAAAAATGTGCGCTTTAATTTTTCAGAAAAAGATGAAAAAAAACAAAGAATAATGAAAGAAAAGATTGTTGTCCCATTCCAAACCCTCAGTCGATGTAGCAGCAATCCGCTGTAAGTCAGGCTATAAAATACGAAATCTCATCACAGAAGTATCATAGGAGATTTAATAGACTTAAATGTTTTAGATTGTAATAAATATTACAATAGAATAGATGGTCTTGTAATGAATTCTCCTTTAATGCTATGCAATTGGTTACCTTTCAACTTATGTTTCAGCTAATATTTTCATGAACAAACATGGATAATTTTTTACTAATGATATTTGATGAAAATAATTGTTTCACTTTAGTACCAAATTTTTACGATCTTTATGTGGAGTGTTTAATTGCTATCTTTAATTCTGAGTATAAAGTTTTCTTTAAACACCTTTATTTATATTTATTTTTTTAAATAAATAAATATTCCGTAAATATTGATAGGTATTAATACTTAAAATTTAACATTTTTTTTTAGGTGTACCTTTCATACTAAAGTGCGGCAAAGGTAAATAAACTACAATAAATTAATTTGTTTTTTCAGAAAACAATACTATCTTGTTTCATATTTCTAAAGTATGATAAATGTTTAAAAAATAAAATAAAAACCATAAATATCAACTTCTATGGTAGCATTAAATGAAAGGAAAGGTGAAATTCGAATTCAGTTTAAAGATGTTCCTGGTGATATTTTTGAAGGTCGAACAGTACGGAATGAATTGGTTATTAGAGTGCAGCCTGATGAAGTACTTTTTTTTAACTTATTTTGTTCATTTTGTTTAGTTATGGGGTAATTGCATGTCAATTGACCCAGGCCATGTCACCATACATTTCAGATTTTGCTGATTTTTATACAGTTGAGAGTACATGATAAAAAAAGAATTCCTTGAAATTTTAGTCTCTGGCTCCAAAAAGATCCTGAAATATGATCATTCAAGTCATATAACTTTGAAATTTTTTTTTTTAACAATTTCAATATATTTAGGTAATTTTTTATATACTTTATTTTAATGCCCAAAAAAGCTATGTTTTTTTTTCACTAGTTTCCAGACAAAATGGAGCTCTGAAAATTTCACATTTGTGTAGTCCTCATGAACATGTATTAAAATTGATTCCACTGCAAATTTTCAGAGGGTCGATGAGACCAGGGCACCAGGGACCATGCCCCGCTTATTTTCTAAAAAAAAATTTTTTATTTATTTTTATTTTAACAAAGTAAAGGTAAATTTGAAAATATTTTCTTTATAAATTTTTTTGGTTTATACTTGTTCTGTTTTATTAAACCATTTACAAAATAAAGTGTCAAGATTGTGTTAAGATTTGTTTAGATGCATCAACGGTCAAAGTATACATACATCCATTTATTGTTACAGGTGCATCAATGACACAAATTGTGTTGGTGATTAAAAACCTAAACTCATTTGCTCTAGATGGCTAGAAAAGATGATTAATTTCTTTTTTTGAATAGAAAAGATTTTTTTTGTCTCTTAACAAGGTTGTTTAATTGTAATTAAATTTTTGGAAAATTGTCATTTGACATTTGACATTTTCCGAAATCAGATAAATCCATTCTTACTGTAAAATTAACTACTAAGTTGCATTTCAGAGTAAATTAAAAATGAGAAACCAATAGTAAATAATATAATGAAAGCAACTTAAACAACATGATAATGGAAAATGATTGATTTTTTTTTTTTAAATGGAAAAGATAATTTTTTGTCTCTTTAATGAGGTTATTTAGTTGTAATTAAATTGTTTATGTTAAAAATGGTAATATTGAATAATGAAAAAATATGGTAATATTTCTACACTAGTGTAATGACAGTATGTTTTTTTGTTACTGTTAATAGTTCTTATCTAATAAAACAACTTGATGTTAAAATTTTAGAATTGGCAAATATCAATTAAAAGGTGATATATTTCTTTTTTTATTGATGTAATGTTATGGCAGGATGTTTGTTTTTTTACTGTTAGATTTTAATTGATTAAACAACTTAATGTTAACATTTTTAAACAACTTAATGTTAACATTTTAGCATAAAAAGTACTACATTTTCAGTTCAAAAGTTTTAAAATTATACAATCATTATTTTAGATGGCTTAAATCTGTATACTGGCAAATCAAAATTCTCATAAACATATAAACTTTCTTAAAATATTTTAAAAAGATCATATAGAATAATCAAAACCGAATGAAACAAGTAAAAACTGATAAAATTTCAAGGCAATTTTTTTAAATTTATCTTTACTTTGTTAAAGATTAAAAAAATTTTTTTTTTCTAAAGTTGGGTCATGACCCCTGAATCCTCATGGGCCCTCTGGTTGTCTGCACTGGAAACAATTTTAACACACATTCATCAGGACTATGCAGATGATAAAATTTTCAGAGCTCTAATTTGGAAAGTATTAAGAAATCTATCGCAAAATTCCATTTTTAAAGAAGTGGGGCACATAACTCATCCCCCTTGAATCTGGTGTCTTGGGCCTTGGAAACAACTTTAACATGCACATTAATCAGCACTACAGAAATGCCAAAAGTTTCAAAGCTAGAGCTTTGAAACTTTTGGCATTTCTGTAGTGCTGATTAATGTGAATTAAAGTAGTCTGAAAGGTAGTGAAAAATTAATGGCATTATTCCACTTCAAAAAAGTGGGGACTGTGCCCTGTTATTTATATATGAGAACTCATATACTTGCAAATCAAAAAAAAGTTAAATTTTTTTTTATATTATTAAGGCCTCATGGGTTTCTTGAGCATCAAAATCAGGTATATAAAACATTGCCTAAATTAATAAATAGAGGTACTTAATAATAATTCTTTACATTTCTGATCATTTCATTGGATTCGTCACTCCTGAAAATAGCTTTTTAAATAAAAAATCAAATATTTTTAAGCTATGTAACTTAAATTCTCTAAAAAACCTTGCAGTTCTGAAGGGACAAGTGGAGGGTGCCCAATATCTGCTAAAAATAAAGTGGACATATTTTTGAAGCTTCTTTGTGCTAGAGGCTAAAATTTTAAAAGAATTCTTATTTTACTAAGTACACTCAATCGCATAAAAAACAGCAAAATTTGAGATATAAGGTGTCACCAACAGACACCAAGAAAAAAGTTCTTTAAATTTTTATTTAAGCCTTAAAATTTTAAAATTAGCAAAATACACACAGGAATATGTAGTTGTGAAGTTGAATAGAATGTTAATATTAGCAATATAAATGAATTTTTGACAGTAAAAGTTAAACAGATTTAAACGTCGCCTAATTTTTTTATAAAATTAAGCGACTTTTTTTTATATCAAGTAACATTTTATGATTGTTTAAAAAGGAAATAAATGTTCTTTATTTGATAAAGAGTGTTATATAATTTTTATTTATATAGACTTTTCATACTTCCAGTGCTAGATTAAGGAGGGATGGGTTAGAGGGGGCTATAGACCCGGGTCCCGCAATGTTTGTCCCTAAAAAAGTCAAGGCCTTTTTGTTTAGTCATGTTTACGCTGTGGTACATACAAAGGCATCCAAAATAAAAATAGCCCCTGGCCCCAAAAAGTCAAACAAGACTCTAATAAAACTAACGCAACTTTTAGTTTTGTCTGAGCTAAATTATTTTATAAATAAAAAAGATAATCTTTTACCTATTTTATGCTTACCTATTTTATGCTTTGCGTAGTTTGAAAAGTTTAACATATTTAAAACAATTCTTCTTGGTAACATGAACAAATGAAATAATTAAATCATTGAATTACTATAGAAATTAAATAAACTAGATAGAAATCAACAAAAGGTTGAAAATACTTTATGACGAGGAAGCGAAACTACTTCATAATATCGCTAATGATGTTTAGTGAGTGGGCTTTTTAATTTTAATTAGTATTTACAGGGCGCGAAAAATCATTTTTTTTTAATAAATGTTGACATTCGCTTCTTTATTTATTGACGAACATCTAATTTAAGAGGTATGTCAAATATCCACCACCCCTCTCCCCCCCTCCACACATACACACTTTTTTTTAAACTTTTTTTATATATTTTTTTTATTTAAGAGAAATTCAAGATATAGAGGACTTTTTTCATTAATAGATGGTTGCGCACCTCCACTTCGAACCTGTGTGTCGGCCAGAATAAATCATTTTCATTTTAACTTCTTTAATTTTTTTTTTTTCTTATTTAAATAATTTTTTTATTTAATTATAAGGGAGTTTTATTTTCAAATAAATTTTATTCTAGTTAATAAGATATATAATAATTAGATATATCAAAGATACTTATCGAATTTTATCAATTTTTTATTAATTTAAAACAGTTTTTCACGCATTTGCAAAGTGTGTGCAAATTAATGATAACTAATATGCAATAACCTTTTCACTGTAAACTGTTATCTATTAATACAAAATAGTGAATTTTCTCAATTTAGTTTGTTAAATTACAAAAAAAAGATATAAACTTGATAAAATTTAAATAAAAGGGAACTATATAAAAATAAAATAAAAGTTATTTTGTCATTTTTATTTTTTAAATATTTAAAAATAATAATATAGTATTAAGCATTTAATAAGTTATTAAATTTATAATTTAATAAGTTACTATCAAATACCTGATATGCTATTATTATATTTATAATATTAAGTATTTAATAAAAAAATATTATATTATTGGTTGTTGTTAAACGCACAGTAAAAAATGAAAACTATAATCAACATAATAGTTCTATAAAATCTATTAAATTTTATATATTTCTGCAAATTTTTTTAAAAACTTTAAAAACAGCAAATAAACATTAATTTAATGATAATAAGAAAATTTAAAAAAAGCACGCCTTTGGAAAAAGAATGTTTTAGCATGGTTCCGTTTAAAGTAATTGCAAATGCATTCATTTTAAGTTAAACTTGCCATTCTTTTGTAAACGCATGTAAAAACCATGCTAAATATAATTTTTTCTACAGTTGCATACTTAAAAGAAACGCTATCGAAGAAAGTATTAGTGCGGTTAATTTTAATGTCGTTGAAACTGCGTTTTAAATTTTAGTAACTTATTTTTTTTATATTAATAATGTTTTTTTTTATAATAAATAAAAAACTATCAATTGCATAATTATTTGGAAATAAAAAATTGTTGAAAATATGTGTTTGTTTTTAAAAAATTTAAGCGAACGCCAACGTTTGCTTAAGTAAAAGTAAGGAAACGTGATGTTCATTTTTCTGTCTTTTTTTTAACAAACATTCGCACGTTCGTCGATTTGTCGTGCCCTGATTTAAAGGGATCCCAAACTCCCAACACATGTTGTGTTCATATTAAAGATAATGTTAAAAAAAAAGGTTTGAATCAAATTTTTTTGATTAAAAATAAATAATGAATGCATACCGTGAAAAACAAATGTTGTTGTTTTTGCCGAAGCTCGTCTTCTTCATTTTTTTCAACCACTCGGAGTCTTCAAATTATGCGTTGCAATCTACAGACTTTGGTGATTCCTTTGAAGCGCGTTTAATTTATAAAAGTTTTAGTATTTGACGTCACTGTAGACTTTTAACAAAAGAAAAGTGTAATTAAACTAAGCTGTGTTTTTCTACTGTACTATTTTTTAACATAAAGCGAAACAAATTTATTTGTATTATTTTTCTAAACATCGCAAAAAAAAATTTGTAAAAAGAAAAAATGATAAATTATTTTTATTTTATAGGAACAACTTGTTTTTTACAGATATCTTAATAATTTTTCGATTTATATATCTTGCTTATATTTCTTTTGTTTTTAAATTAAAACAAATATTAAAGCTTTACTTACCAATCTTATGATTATCTTACAAGTATTTTACAGTATTATATATTCTAAATCTTACATTAAACAATCAAAACTATTTTCTAACTTCTCTGGTCATTTTTACGCTATGAAGTTTTTTTTTTTTCCGTTGAAAAAAAGTAATTACAAGCAATTGCTTTCATTTAATTAGAGATATTTGATAAGCTGTTAAATTTTTTTATTATAAAAATTTTTTGATTACGCTGATTAAATTTAAATTGCTGAATTTGCTAAATTGGATATGGATAAAAAAAAAATCATCTCATTTTGCATTTGATTTTTGATAACGAAACTTTTGAAATGTCGGCAACTCCATACATAATTTTGTTTTTACTCTAACATATTTTACATACTATAGGAACAAATACGTTCCTAGGGCCTTTTCTGATCTTAGAATAAATTAACACAATATCGCTTAATTTTAGGGGCTTTTTATTTATTGCTAAGTCGTTCTAAATAATAAGTAAATATAGTTAAAGTTAATATTTTAATAATTACAGTTGCAATATAACAAAAAAAAGATGTTTAATGTTAAACTTTTTATTTAGTTATTTATTTTTTACCTACTTTTGTTATAAAAAGACTTTAGTACCCCCGTCATTTAAATAAATTGTTTTAAATATATTTCGACGTGATTATTCAAACTAATTTTTTTCGTTTGACTTCCCCAAGCAAATTGAGACAAAGTATCGTCTAACCAAATAAAAATGTTGTTACTAATTTTATTCGGGTAATTAATGTAAAACATTTTTTTATCAGTCTTGATTGAGATAATAAATATTCATAATTTATAAACATTAAATATATGGCGCAATAACAATTTATAGCAATGAACCAGCATAAAATATTTAAGGTTTTTAATATCTTTTTAAATATTAAAAGTAGAAAAAAAAAAAAACTAAACAAAAAACCAAAAAAACCTTGACTAAAAATAAATAAAAATATTTCCAGAGTTTCTTTTCTTAAAAGTCTACCGTGACGTCAAATACTAAAACTTTTATGAATTAAATGGGCTTCAAAGGAATTGCCAAAGTCTGTAAATTGCGACGCATAATTTGAAGACTCCAAGTGGTTGAAAAAAATGGAGAAGACGAGCTTCGGCAAAAACAACAACATTTGTTTTTCACGGTATGCATTCATTATTTATTTTTAATCAAAAAAAATTGGTTCAAACCTTTTTTTTAACATTATCTTTAATATGAACACAACATGTGTTGGGAGTTTGGGATTCCTTTAAAGCAGAAAAAAGTATAGCGATTTTTATAAATGGCAACTGAAGCGAAAATAATTAGAGTTAGTAAACCAATATCTAGAAACTTTTCTTTATATCTAATAACTTCCTATATATATTTGTGTTCTGTCATGACCTCGGGCGCAGTGCTTGTTCATCTACAAGTTGCTTTGTATGCTTTGTTTGTGTTTAGTAACCCAAAACTTCTTATATGTTTGTTACATAATTAGTTTTATTAAATTTTAAGATTATTAATAACCTTATTAAAAATGCAATTATTTTTGCAAGTCTTTGTTTACTAATTAAATCCTAAAAATTGCTTTAAAAGATTGCATAACGATAAAAAACAGTTGAAAAAAAATTACATTTACATAAAAAATATATACTTTTTAAATTAATAATAAGAATATACTAATAAAATCTATATTTTATAATAAACTTTCAAAAATTTGACAATTTAAAAAATATATATTATAAAACATTAATTTTTGTAAACAAATAATAATAGTTTATAAGATTTACGGCTATGCAGATGTGCTCTATACTGTGCTCGACTTTGCAGATGTGGCTCCAAGAATGAGCCATAGTATTGATAATATATTCTTAAAATAATTTATGCTAGAAATTTCAAACATACATTTTCTAAAACATTTCAACAGAAAACTGTAGAACTTTATTTCCCATAGTCAGCGTATTTTTTGAACTAATAGAATTAGTTTGTTCGTAAATTTGGCGGGTTTTTAGTGTTCGCGAATATTCTTTTTATTCTTCTGCACCAAGATGTTTTGAGAACATTCAAGTTTATTTTGTTTCCACGTATGTTCCTAAAACAAAAGTTTTTGTTACGTAAGTAAATTTAAATGTTCTCAAAACGACTATAAAATGTGGCCAGTTTTTCGCAACTAAATATTATTTCCGTGGTCAGTATTCGAGAGCGATCGCTCCTGATTCCCAACCAAGCCTGAGTAGAACACTCACCATCACAAACCATTTTAGTTGAGCATCATAGAGTGTACCCACAATAAAATTAGGTATTTTTACAAAGATTTTTTTCTTGTATGATTTCTTGATAAATTTTCAGGTAATTTTATTGAAATAACAAAATTTGCTTAAATTTATTCTTGATATTTTAGGCTGTTTATTTTTAAATTATGACAAAGAAACCTGTTATGCTTATTTTTTCTTGATATTTCAGGCTGTGTATTGTAAAATGATGACAAAGAAACCTGGTATGTTTATTGATCCCATTGAAACTGAGCTAGATCTTACTTATTCTCGACGCTACAAAGTAATTTGCTTTTAAACAAAAAATATTTTTTATATATATTAAATGTTTTTGATAGTGCAAATTATATATTTTTTCTCAACTTAAATTTTGTAAAAATTTATAAAAAGAAAAAATTTAGTTTTAAAGTTTTATCGCCATCTTTTATTTTATTTAAAAAAAAGGGTTAAATTAAATTATTAAAATAAATAAGCTATTCAGATTTTTCAGTCAATTTTTTGGAGTAAATTATAACTTTTTAAGTAATTACGAAATTAATTTTTTACAAATACATGTTTGACTATTAATTAAATTAAAAAAATATAAATTAAATATTAGGTAAATTGCATAGGACCAATTTTCACTTTAATTTGGCATTCTTTATTTTAATTAAGCGATTTTCACTATTTTCACTGTAGAAAAAGAAAACAGGCTGTTCAAAATTGTGCTACAATATATATATATATATATATATATATATATATATATATATATATATATATATATATATATATATTGTACATATATATATATACACATATATATATATATATATATATATATACATATATATATATATATGTATATATATATATATGTATATATATATATGTGTATATATATATATGTATATATATATATATATATATATATATATATATATATATATATATATATATATATATATACAGTATCGGTGCAACCAAATAATGCTAATTTAGTTTCTTTATATAAAACTGCTTCATTTTTTCAAATTAGAGAAATAACTATGTAACTGTTTAGAGACAATGTACTCAAGTTTTATTCATCACAAAGTTCATTATTTGTACACGAAAATTAATAAATTAATCAAAAGTATTAAAAAAGTTGATTTCCTTCTGGACAAAACAAGTGCAACTCCACAAAATATTGACCAAGCTGTATTTCGCTATCAATATTTCGTGGCGAATCCTTTGTTGTCGATCACAGCTTTGCTCTTCGAGGCATAGATTCGATCAGGTGTACAATGAAACTTTGTGGAATCGCTGCCCAGGCCTTTTGGATTTGTTCAAACAGTTGATCCTTATTATGAACACCTTCACGATTAATTCTGCGGTTGACGATCTCCCACAGGTTCTTGATAGAGTTGAGATCCAGAAATTAAGACGGCCTATCCATCACCGATAGGTAGTTGTCTTGAAACCACTGCTTGACTACTTTTGCAGTGTGTTTCAGATCGTTGTCTTGCTGAAAAACCCATTTTATTGGCATATTCCATTCAGAATGAGGTAACACAACATATTTCAGGATGTTTTTATACATGAAATGGTCCATTATTCCATGGATTCGATGTATTGGACCTAGACCGTTAGCAGAAAAACACCCCCAGACCATTACATTGTCTCCACCATGCTTCACAGTCTTATGGCAGTAACATAAATTGAGGCGTTTTCCGGTCGACGTACACGGCAAATGCCATCGCTCCCAATCATGTTGAACTTCGATTCATCACTGAACAGGACAGTTCGCCATTTCTGCACATTCCAGTCAATATGAGATGTAGCAAACAGGATTCTTTATTCTAATTCTTTAGTGAAATTAGCGGTTTCTTTGCAGGGCGTCAAAATATCAATCTGGCTTCAACAGCACGTCATCTGATTTGGTCCGATACAGGACACTCAAATTGCTTTGTATCTCGACTGATGATATCCAAGGATCCTTCTTGACGGATCTTAAGGTCAAAGAATCCTCTCTAGAAGTGGTGGAACGCGGTATTCCACCTTTGTTATCTTTCAACTTCCCTGTAGAACAATATTTGGAACATAGTCTTGATACGGTCCATTTTTTCACGCGATATTTATCACTAATACTTTTTTATGACATTCCACTTATGTAGTCGCCAATAATTTTCTTTCTTAGTTCCAATCCAAGACTGTCGGGAGCCATTTTTGCACTTAAAGTCATTAAAATAATAAAAATAAATAATCACGCTTCTCAAGGCTTACCGTGTTACATTTAACTTGTGATGATACAATAATGCTCTGTGGAACACAACGTCTTGATTGGATGTGAACTGTATTGATGTAATAAAACACTTATTGTATTCCACTTCTTGTATTGATGTTCTTCAATAAAACACTTTGATAAAACTTACTTCGATAAACTGTCTTGACAATACTGACTTAGTAACTGATTGACTTCCATATACTGACTGAATTACATGTCGGTTTACATGTCTCTTATATAGTAAAACGAACCTGTGTAAACCTGTTTTGGAAGATTCTAGATGCTTCTTTTCTATGTTTCTGGATGCATCTGGATGCTTCTGAATGTTTCTAGATACTTCTGGATGCTTCTAGATGCTTCTTCTGGAAACTTCTGGAAGCTTCTGCATGCTTCTGGAAACTTCTGTATACTTCCTTTAATTATTAAAAAACTTCCGTGACGTTGACACGGACCAGACTTAAGAAAATGAAACAAACCAAAAAAGTTGCACTTATTTTGTCTGCTGCAAAATGGCACTTGTTAACAAAATTCTGCCTGTGTGCTGTCACCTATCAGCTGATTGCTCATGTCATGGCATGCTATGACTCCAGACTCCTGAACTGTTTACTGTGGTAGTATAGTTCGTTTCGTTTTTAAGACATGTAAAATTAGGAACACTTTTTAGCATTGTTCGATCTTGGCTGCAAATGTTTTGTCCAATACTGTATATACAAGGTAAAAATGTTATTATAGATTTAATCTTTACAAAGTTTATTATTAAAGTTTACATTACATTAAGGATTTGAGTAAATAAAATATAAGAAATTTAATGCAGTTGTGACATCCTAGGATTAGCTCTACTCATTCCAAAAATTCAATTGTTCTCATTTTACGTGATAATATTGTTGATTATTATCCTTAGTGACCCTGGATAAACTTGATGCTTTTGTATATTATAAAATAATAAATTATTGTAAAATATTATTTTGATTATTATAGAAAGAAATAGAGGATATAATAAAATAGTTATGACAATGTTTATTCTTTTGCTCTAATTATTAATTAAATAATAAACTTTGTGCTAATATTTTTTGATTGTGTTGTAGAGATTTTTATTTTCTGTTTAAGATGATGTAAGACTTTCATAAGAAAGTTTTTTTTGTTTTTAATAAATTGTTAAGATTTTGACTGCATTTTTCAAAAATATAATAAAAAAAACTATTGAAACTTAAATTTGCATTTATTAAATACATCAAGCATAATAACTTTTTTTATAATTAAGTTTGGTACTTTCAGAAATAAGTTATGAGTTAAAGTTATAAATGGTAAATTATGGCCTTAAACACTCATTAATTCTTCAATGTTAAATGCAGCTTTTATTAAATGAATTATGCCAATTGCTTACTTGCTTAATTTAGCTTTTATTAATTAATTCTAAACTAAATCAATCTCTATAAATTCTTTGTATAGAATTTAAACTCATTATTATCAGATTTATGCCTCACAAAACATTATGTAAAGAAAAAAGAAAAACTATATACAAACAGCAAGTTAATTTTAAGTAATTTTAAGTTAATTTTCACTCAACAAAGCTGCTTCATTCATAATACCAATAGCAAATCTTTATATGTGTGTTCATGGCATCAGTGAAGCAATTGACAGTGGTTCAACTTTGGTAGATATGCTCATCTTTGACTTATGGAGATTTGGTAGACTTAAGTTTGACTTAAAGAGATTTGGTAGAACTTAAAATGGTATTATCACACTATTTACTAGCTTTCAACACCAAGAACAACGACATTTTCTCTAAGGTACATTAAGGATAGGTTGGTACATAATTTTTATCAACATATGGAGTTATAAGTTATACATCATAGCTACAATATTTCTTGACTCTGAACTGCTTCTTGCATGCAAGAAATAGTAGCAAAGTGTTTCAATACACTGCAAAAGCATTCAACAAAGCAAATATTAACAAAACACTTTATTTATAGATTCCAGGTAATTAGCTTAATCTTTAACTTAATCAATTTGTTAAAAATTAGTTAAATCATCTAATTGATTTTCAGCCAATTCTTATCGCAAAAATTTAGACCTTCCTGTATTTATGAACGGTAATGTGCTCGATGAGTTGTCTACCCTTCATCTTCTAGGATTAACTCTTACTTCTGATCTTTCTTGGAAACCTTATATCAAATCCGTTGCAAAATTAGCATCTGCTAAAGTTGCATCTCTTTATTGAGCTCGACACTTTCTTACTCTGTATTCTATTCTCTATCTCTATAAATCTCAAATCCGGCCTTGGAAACCTTATATCAAATCCGTTGCAAAATTAGCATCTGCTAAAGTTGCATCTCTTTATTGAGCTCGACACTTTCTTACTCTGTATTCTATTCACTATCTCTATAAATCTCAAATCCGGCCTTGTATGGAATACTGTTGCCATATCTGGGGCGGATCTTCTAATGATGCCCTTTCTCTTTTAGACAAGGTGCAAAAACGCATTGTAAACATAGTTAGACCTGCTCTTGCCGCCAACCTTCAACCTTTGTCACATCGTCGTAATGTTGCTTCTCTTTCTCTTTTCTACAAATACTATTTGTAGAAAAGAGAAAGAAAATTTTAGTAGGTGGCACAAGAGCTAGCGTCTCTTGTGCCACCTACTAAAATTCATTCTCGTGTTACTCGTCATTCAATTAAGTCTCATCCTTTTTCTGTTACTGTTCCTAAGTGCTCCAAAAACTCTTATTCGTCTAGTTTTTTTCCTCAAACATCAGTTCTTTGGAATTCACTTCCTCCATCTTGTTTTCCTGATTCATATAATTTGCAATCTTTTAAGTCGTCTGTCAATCGTTATCTTGCTCTACAATCTTCATCTTTTCTCTTCCAGTAACTTCCAACTCTAATAAAACCTTGTTGGAAGCAAAGATGTTTAAAAAAAAAATTGTTTAGTTAAATAAGTTTATATATAGTTTTTGAGTTATATGTATTTTAATTGCAATCAATATGTGACATGTTACTTTTTGGGTTGTACTTATTTGTATAAAAAAAAAGTCTTTTATTTTATCTTTAATTTGCTTGACATTCTGTAGCCACTAGATATCAAAAGAGTCTGGTACAAATTACTTCAACAATTTTATGCAAAGACAAAGTTCAGCAATTTATCAAAAGAATCTTTTATTCAATATATATATATATATATATATATATATATATATATATATATATATATATATATATATATATATATATGTATATATATATATACATATAAAGAGCCAAAACAATGTTTTGGAACCGCTAGATTTTGCTACAGCTTTAGTTAAAGCTGAGAAAAAACCAGTGGTTCAAGCTTTTTAAAATATTAAGAAAATTTAAACAAATTATTAGCAATAATTTCGAATTTCTAACTTCTTGGATTATATTTTTAAAATTTTTTTGAATTAATAAAATTAGTTATAATAATTTTAAAGGTGAGTTCTATTCCCTCTAAGAGCGGGGCTGTCATAAAAAAAAAAAGTTGTGGCTCCACAAGACTGCTGATTGATTATAATTTTGCTCATTGATTATAATTTGATAAAGTTCTGTATTGAAACAATTGTTCCTCTATTAACTGTTAAAAAGTATGTTACTTTGTTATAATTTAAACTATTTTTTAGAAATCTAACAGAGTTATTCTTTTTTCATTTTTAGAATGTTCATATGCCTGATGCATATGATCGTCTTCTTCTTGATGTATTTTATGGAACCCAACTAAACTTTGTCAGAAGGTAACCTGTTTCGTAAAATTTTATTATTATTTTGCTTTTGCTTTAAAAGACAATTTAATTTATTTCAAGTAATGTTTTTAACAGTGATGAATTAGCTGAAGCATGGCGGATATTTACACCTGTTTTACATGCATACGACGCTGAAAAGATTGAGCCTGTTAAATACAAATTTGGAACGTAAGCATTTATGTTTTATGTTTTTATAATTGACCAGTTTTTATAAATTAAAAAAGTTGAAATATTGCGCATTATAAGAGGTTTAAAGTTTTTTCAGTTTTTAACTTAGTTGACTTAAAGCTTTTGACACTTTTCCGCAAAGTTATTCAATTTACTTACATAATAATAATTCCTTAGATCCGTTACCAGGCCGTTATTAGGTGATTTTAAAATTAGAATAATAGAGAAATTAAAATAATGAAGTTTTTTATACTGTTAGATTAATTTTGTAATAACAAAGAAATTCTTTATAATAAGCGAATTACTGAATTTTAGTTCCGTGTTCGGTAAATAGGTATTTGTTAAGGTATGTTGAGAGTGGCGCCAAACAAAGAGATTTAAATTACCTTTTCTTAGTTAACTACGATTAAAACTAGTTTTTTCTAGATTATATATAAAATCTGGGAAATTGAATTAAATCTTATTACTTTTAGACCATATAAATAAAACATTGAAATTAAAATAAACAGATACAAAGGATCAAAGATTCGTATTTCATAGAGAATAAAGCGGGTGTTGTTAACATTAATAGTGCCCGTTATTCTGCCATGTTCAATAATTTTGTAAGGCTGATAAACCATTCACAACTGTGGTTTCAATAAGATTGAGTCACTACGCACACATCAATGAAGTAATGATGATATTACGAAACATTTTTGATGAACTCATAATTTCAAGATGCAGTAACATTAATTGGCCTTTGCGTTTGCAAGATTTAATTGCACCTAACTTTTTTCTATGGTTATATTTATTAATGTCGACATGATTAAAGCTAGAGATTTAACTTAAATTTAATATTTAAGAAGAGATTAAGTGAATAACAACAACACGACAAAGCAAAGCTTAAAACAGACACCACTTAAGTGATCTTAATTTTGGCGTTAAGTGAAATTAATTTTTCATACTTATATATTTATTTAAAAAATTATGGATTACTCAAATCTCTTAGTTTTTTTTGCGCCACCCTGAATATATACACAATATTATTTTATACTACTTTGTTTAAACAATTGTAATTATTTATTTTTAGACGCGGTCCAACAGAAGCCGATAAGTTAATAGTCGAAAAAGGTTATTATAAGTACTCTGATACTTATATATGGAGCAGCAATTGCAAAGCTGCATTGTAAATAATAATCACCGAACTTCATTCCTTCACTTTTTATTAAAATAATTTGTAGTAATGCAACTTTTACTTACATAAGTAAATTTGCTTTTTGAATATTTTTGAAAAAGTGTGAATGTGTGAAAGTGTGTATGTGTGAATGAATCAAATCAAAACACGCAGAAATTTTCATATAAAGTATTTTGTTTGTTGTAGTTGTTTTTGTTGTTGTAAATACTAATTACATTTTTTTAAAGTATATTTTGTTTCGACATTTCTATTTGAGTAATGGTGGAAAGCAATTATATTTTTACATAAAAATCAGCTAACATATTTTTAGGTTTTCCAGTGAGCAAATCCAGGTTTCGCGTTTTTTGTAAAATCAAGTCCCGAATTATTTTAACTTATTTAAACTGTTTATACTCATTTTCTTATAATAATTTATAGATAGATAATTTAATAGGTTTATTATATTAAATAATTCTTTTTAATATATTATAGCAAAATTTGTTATAACTTGTACACTATTAAAAACGAAATCGATATTCAAGCACTTATTATATTCGAGTCAGGATTTTATAAAAAAACGCGAAACCTGGATTTGCTCTCTGGAAAAAAGGTTCAACCAACTGACTTAGCCAGAGTTATTGAGCATTTTTGATTATGTATTTAATAAGCATGTTGATAATATTATCGTAGAATGGAATTTCAAAACAGCCATAAGAACACAAGAGCTAAGAAAATTTAACAAAATTTTAGTAAAAAAATATAACGTGAACTTTGGGAGGACTTCCCAAAATTCACAGGAAAAAAAGTCAGACGAAATATCGTATACTGGTTTTTTGGTTTTTAACCTGGTGACTTAGACGGATTTATTTTTATGACAAATACTTTTATTGAAAATATTGTTTTTGTATTTATAATGATATTAATTGACTTGCCAGTTAAAAAATTTTATATTTTTTTAACTAAAATTTTGTTTAAAAAAAAGTTTAACTTTATGTTTCAAACTTTATTTATGCATTGATATATCTTTAATATAACAATTTTAATTTTAAAAAATTAAAAAATATAAATTTGGCACAAAAAACAATTTTATCCCACTTTGCATTGAAAAGATTTTAATTTATAATGAATATGACACAACCAGTGACCATTTGAGACTCAAAATTTGAAACAAGAACACGCATGATTCATATGTTGCCAGTTATCAGCATATTTTCAAACATACTTGTATTATGGCAACGATGTGGATATACAACTTGAAATTTTGTTGAAGTTGTTGGTGAAATAATAAGTCTGCAGAACTATAAAAAAAACGATGAAAGTGCTAAGATCAATTTAAAAAAGCTACATCGAAAAAAAAAAACGTAATAATGGTAAATAACTCTAGCTCTTTTACTTAAACTATTTTAAACCGCAAAAGTGCATTTAAACTAGGAAGTTCACGCCTCCTTTCGAATTACGGGCCTCTTGGTCCTGAGCCAGAGCTCTAACCACAGCGCCACGGCTATGCTTTTTAACAAAGATATATTTGGCTTGTTTAAATATTTTACTTTGAATTTTTGCACCAAGATAGAACTTAGTTGAAAAAATGCAATGAGCCAAAAATATTTATTGTATGTTACTAAGTTTAAGGTTTAGGTATTATATACCCAAATCCTGTAAAAGGTTCCAGTAAAGATTCGTATAAATATTGAGTACCATGTAAGTGGATCCATAGTAAAATAAATGCTTAAAACGGATTTTTTTTTTTATTATTGTTTTTATCAGAAAAACTACCTATCTTTCAGAAGAGAGTGATTTTTATTAATTGTTTACATAAAAAATCTGTTAAAAGCAAAAAATTTGTCAATTTTTGTTAATAGTTGTCTATAGCAACCCGCATAGCAACCACAACTGGTGGTCAATTTCTACTTTTTATTTTTAAATTATCCAAATCTGTGTTATTTGAAATATATCCAATACATTTTAAAAAGTATTCTGTTTTTATGTTTTCCTATTGTTTTATTCGTAGATTGCTTAATAAACATCTTTATATTTATGTTAATTTCTTTTGCATTTTTCTTCGTTGTTTATTTTTACGAATGGAGTAATCTTAAGGCGAGTTTCCACTCATCCGTTTTTTTACGGGAACGGGAAAGGGACGGGAAAAAAATCCCGCGGGCATGCGTAGTATAAGTTTTAATATGTCCGAAGGACATATTAAAACTTAAACTACGCATGCTCACGTAATTATTTTTCCCTTTCACATCCCGTTGCCGTGAAAAAACGGATGAGTGGAAACTCACCTTTACAACGTTATCTTGAAATCCGCTCATAGTTAAACGTTCAAATTATCAGGAGTTGTTTATTATACTTTAAGTAAGTGCCTGAAGCAAGATCTTCAACTGAAACATTTTTTTTTAATTTATATTTCCCTGTCAACTTTTAGCCAAACTTTTGGATTATTCACCAATTTTGCTGCCATTATAAAACAAAATAAATATATAAAACAATTCCGCTTCAGGCATTTTATCAATATGTTGTCTCCAATTTATAAAATTTTTCAATCAATCAATATATATTTTGTCAATGAACAAAAAAGAAAAGAAAATTTTACAATGTACTTGTAAAATAAAAATTAAATAAAATATATTTTTTAAATTCTGACAGGAGCAAGCAGAAGACAATACATCTTATCATCTTGCCCCTTTGATAGTAAAATAGTTAACTTTATTTACATGATTAAGTTCGTAAAATCTATAATTATAAAATTAGTTTATTATAAAACTACATATTTTTGAGTTAAACATACATATTCGTATTAGTAAATACATAAAAATACGACTTAAAAATACAAAAAAATACTTTTATTGGTTAGATTTAACAAATGTTGTTTCACAGTTTTTTAAAATGCTTTAATTGAGGCTATAGATTTTATGTCATTCAGGATTGAGTTCCACAGACGTGAACCCCGATAAGTAATAGAGTAGTCCGATTTTTTAAGAGTTGTTGATGGTATTTAAAAATTGTCAATAGAATATCTTGTTAAGTATCTGTGATTAACTAAAGAGAAATGTGGCTGAAAATATGATGGAAGCATGTTATTGTGAAGTTTAAACATAAACAATAAATTTTGATAAATGTTTAGTTCGAATACATTCAGAGCTTTAATTTCTTTTAGTTAAGGCTTGGCGTGTGCATATCTGTCTGTATTAAAAATTAACCGAGTCGCTTGTTTTTGTTTGCTATAAATTTTTTTTAATAAAGACGAGTGATTACTTGCCCAAGCTATATTACAATAACTAATATAGCTATGTATAAATGAAAAATATAAATTTTTGAGGCACATATTTTTCAAAAGGTGCCTCATTTTGAACATGATCCCCAAGGTTAAAGAGATTTTGTTTTCTAATAATTTAATATGATTTTTCCAATTTAAATGTTAATCAAGTAATATACCTAAAATTTTCATTGAATGAACATTTTTTATTTTAATGTTGTTTATAAATAAATCTGGAAGTTTAAGGGGTAAGTTATCAGTTTTTGAGGGTTTTGTGAACAAAATGTATTTCGTTTTATCATTATTTAAAGAGAGTCTATTAGCTTTAAACCAGTCGTTGAGATTTACTATTTCAGTGTTAACAGTAGAAAAAATGTACTTTAAATTATTACCAGAAAAGAAAATATTGGTATCATCCGCAAAAAGAATGAAATTAAATAACTCTTTAAAAAAAATAACTCTTAAGAAAAAAAATAACTCGGAGGATAAATGGATATCATTAATATATATGAGAAATAGCAGAGGACCAAGAATTGAGCCTTGGGGGACACCATAACTAATACTTTCTAATTGTGTACTTGTTAAGTCATACGTAATACATTGTTTACGATTCTGAAGATAAGACTGAAGCCATTTTAAATTCTGATTCAAAATTCCGTAGTTTTGCAATTTATATAGAAGGATTTCATGATCTACAGTGTCAAAGGCCTTCGATAGATCTACAAAAACTCCCAGTGTATAGTTGTTGTCATCAAAGCCTTTCAAAATAGTATTAGTCAAATCAACTATCGCATGCTCAGTGCAATGGTTTTTTCTAAATCCAAATTGTTTATGGTATAAAATATTATTTTTTTCAAGATAATTGTATAATCTATTGTACATTACACGCTCAAGAAGCTTTGAAAAACAGGAAAGTATTGATAGGCCTGTAGTTGGTTTCTATTGAATCATCGCCATTTTTATGAATTGGAATTATTTTCGCAAATTTTAATTGATCAGAAAAGACTCCATTTTTTAAAGAAAGATTAAATATAACGAAAAGTGGTGACTCTATAATATCATAGACTGCTTTCACAACATTTGAACTAACATCATCAAGACCAGCGCTTTTATTCGTTTGAAGTAGGTTAAAAGCTAAACGAAGCTCATCAATAGAAAGTTCTCAATCTTCCATAACAGAAACAGATTTTTTCAAAAAAAACTTAAATGATTTGTTACTTGGAGAGATTTCACTGGCTAATTTGTTCCCAATGTTTATAAAAAAATTATTAAGTTTCCCAGCAATTTTTTTCTTATCAAAAATCTCAACATTATCCTCTGTTTGAAGTCGTTTGGGAATGTTGTTAAATTTAGTTTTTTTTTTACCAATTATTTCATTTATTATAGCCCAAGTCTTTTTAGGATTTCCTAACGCTTTATACAGTAAACTCAAATAGAAATTTTTTTTGATTGCTTTTTTAATTTTTCGAAATATTTCTTGTAATTTTTATATTTTGTTTCGTTATTAAAGGTTAGTTTTTTTAAAAAATTTTCGTAGAGTTTTTGTTTTTTCTTTGATGATTTTAAAAGTCCTTTCGTCATCCAGGGGTTATGCACATTTTTAGATTTTATAGTTTATTTAATTTTAGGGAAAGCTTTGTTATATTGTTTAGTAAATACACGGATAAAAAAATCATATGCTTCACATGCATCATTACAATCTTTCAACAGTTCCCAATTGATTTCTTGCAAAAGTTTTCGAAAATGTAAAATTGAGTCATCGTTAACTTGCCTTATATATACTGTTAAGGGTTTTTTTTTTATACAGCTTTCAGCATTTATTGTTAAAAAAATAGGGAAATGGTCACTAATATCTGTTTTTATGATACCACTCTTTAATTTTGAGTTTCTGAAGTTATTAGTAATAATATTATTTATGACAGATGATGCTTTATGAGTAGCACGTGTTGGTTTGTTGATCGCGGGAAAAGCATTAAATTGAGAAAGGGTAT